AAGGAAAAGGTGGCGAACAGGTACTGTCAGGCTTGTGGGACTAAAGCCACCACTACACTCTACACATACGTGTTAGTTTGCATGAAAATGTCAATTGTAAATCCCTGACACATTTGAGGCTAATTCCGTCATTTCACCCAAACTCAATGGGAAACCAAAACCGGGGGAACAAAATCCATAAGCGGTTTCAAAAACCCTTCAAACAGGATTTTTTCTTCCAGGACTTCTCTCCCCATTTTCCTTTTTCCATTTTGCCTTCTCTCTTTTTCTCTCCACAAGAGTTGAAATTGGAAAAGGATAAATTAAGACCGCTTTAGCTGAAAAATTTTTTATTTCTTAAAAAAAGTCTTCTGTTTCATTTCATAGAAAAGAGGAACTGGAAAAAAAAGGTTTGTCTTTTTGTTTCCTTTGGATTCCATCTACTAATTCCTCTTTTCTTTCTCTTTCTATCCTCTTCTTCATCATTTTATAACCGACTCAGGTCTGCTTTTTTTAATAGACATCAAAAATGATTTAGAAGTAAATCATAAAAGAAGGGAGGTGGTTTCGCCATTAATAGAAGTGTATTGAAGAGCTACTGAAATTTTGTTGAAGAAAAGATTGAACAACCAAGTCCCGTAAGTGAGTTTTAGTTCAGGTTTCTTCCATGGCAACTGGTAGAAACAACTCGAGCCAACTTGAGCATCAACAACATCAGCATCATCAGATACAAGAGCATAACCATCATCAGATTCCTTATGCCATATTTCCATCATCTCCATCATCATCCTCAATCCCCCCATCTGGAAACTTCATGTAAAATCCAGAAGCTAGAAACTTCTTGAATTTTGCTCACCGAAGAGATGCAAATGTTTTGGAATTTTCTTAAATTTTGTGTTTTGTTTTGTTTTTAATTAAGCAGAAGCAAAGATAGCGGAGCTTATGATTTGGGAGAATTGGATCAAGCACTTTTCCTCTATCTCGATGGACAAGACCCATCTTCAGCTTCTTCAATTCAAGAGCAAAGTAAGTAATTAATCTCTGTTTTTTGTGCTCCTTTTGATTAATTAAGCCTCGTTTGGTTCACTGGAAAAGCATGTTTCAGACCCAGATGAAAAAATATCTGCCCCAGTACCTCCTTTGACCAGATCCTGGCAGAAAAACAAATCTTTGAAACAATTTCAATTCTCAAGAAAAACAAAAATTCTTTCTTCTGATTTTCTTTCTTTCTGTTTGAACCATGACATATATATTTCAAACTATTCTCTGCTCATGAATTCCTTACATCTACTGAAAAGGGGTACGAATAGGGTATGGGTTTCCCCTCCCTTTTCCCCCTTTGCTCCCCTCTTTTTCTGTTTTCGTAGTATAACACTGTGAATGCATGACAATCCCTATACTGTCTTTTTTTAACTAAAACTTTTTAAAGGTTTAAACTTTTGATCTTAACTTTAAAATTTTATTAAAATTCTCTCATATATACAGAGAATTCTGGGATCAGGCCTCCAACTCTAAATATTTTCCCATCTCAACCGATGCACGTCGAGCCAGCTTCATCAATGAAGGTAACAATATGATACCTTAAGCTCAAGTTTTTCATATCTTATTAATTTTTTCTAAGTGGATTTGTTCTGGTATTTGGTAGGGAACGAGTACAGGATTAGTTTCTCCTGCAACGAGTGGTTCAAAGAGACCATCAGAGCCGACGACCATGGAGTTGGCCAACCCCAGAAAAGACACCGCTTCTGCACCTGAACCGGCTAAAGCCATCAAGGTAATTAACTAATTAACCCTTTACTACCTTCTAATATAATAATTAATATCACTAGGAATCAAATCTGGTATGTTTCTTGTTAAAGATTAAAACTGAGATTCCGTTAAATATTTTTTGAGTGTTTGAATTTTGTGTGCAATGCATTTGTTATTTTTTGGGTAGCACCAGGCGAATCGAAAAGGTCTTACTACAACAAGTTCAGATCAAGAAGGACCAAAAACACCAGACCCTAAGGTAATTGAATTATTTTGGTTCAATTTTCTTTTATGTGTGTGTATATACATACATACATATATATATATATATATATATATATTTTTTTTTCTGTTAAAAATGTTGAATTCTTCGATTATTTTGGAGCAGACATTGAGAAGACTTGCTCAGAATAGAGAGGCAGCAAGGAAAAGCAGATTAAGGAAAAAGGTAATTTCGTTCTTCAACTTCCAATGAAAGTAAGTAAAAAAGAAAGTCAATTATTTCTTCTTTTTTTTTTTTTTGGTTTTTAATTTCCATTTTTTTTCCATTATATATAGGCTTATGTGCAGCAGCTAGAATCCAGTAGGGTTAGACTTGCCCAACTTGAACAGGAGCTTCAGAGAGCCAGATCTCAGGTAAAAGATTTATTTTTCTAAATAAGGTCTTGGGAAAATCTATTTCTTTTTTCATTAATTTACGGATATTTCCAGCTAGCCTCAAACAGTTTTAAACAGTTAAATTGAAAACTTTAACTTAGATGTCTTAAAATCAAACTTTAAGATGGATGTGAGATATTATTGTATTAAAAAAATTAATTTAATTAAGAGCATTCGATTTTCTATCTTTTAGGGCATACTTTTTGGTGGAGGCATTCTTGGGGGAGAACAAGGTCTTCCTGTTGGTATTAGCAACATTAGCCCAGGTAAATTAAATTTATTTCAAGTTTTCAACCCTAAAAAAAAAGACTCAATATATATTGTAATATAAATAGTTGATTTTTTAATTTTTTAGATGCTGCAGTGTTTGACATCGAGTACGCGAGGTGGCTGGAGGAGCACCACCGTCTGACGTGCGAGCTCCGTGCTGCGGTACAGGAGCATCTGCCGGAGAACGAGCTACGGATGTTTGTGGACCATTTCGTGGCTCACTATGATGAGATGATTAATCTAAAGAGCTTGGTGGCCAAGACTGACGTCTTCCATCTCGTCTCCGGCATGTGGAAAACTCCGGCAGAGCGGTGTTTCTTGTGGATGGGCGGATTCCGGCCTTCCGAACTCATCAAGGTACGCATACTTAATTCTCAAACCATATTTTACCACAACAACAAAAAAAAAAAGTAAATCCATTGATAAATAATTAGTTTTCTAAGTCTTGGGGTTAGCATTTAATTAATTAAAGAAATTAATTTTTTAATGTATTGAGCTAATACAGGGCATCCTTTCTTATTATTATACAAAGAGATATTATTCTAGAGATATGCAAAAATTAACATCTGACACTTTAATTGTAAAAACAAAAAAAAAAAAAAATTACAACAATGTGACGAAAGGAAAGTACCAAAAAATATCTAACCAAATTTACATCTAATCCCACTTAGGTCACTTAATATATAGATATATATAAACACACACATAATCTAGTACATCTAGCAAAAACAAAAATTCCATATTCAATATCTGTACTTGTTTTGGTCCCTATATTTCTACGCATTAAATACAAAAGAAAGATGGCCCTCGCCTTTCCCGTTCACCTTCAGACGTGGGTACGATGAATTAATGTCATTGAAGAAGATATATATTGGTGATTAGGTGGAGATATGGGGTTGTGTTTTTACTGCATGGTGTGCAGGTTGGCGGTGGCACAAATCAAGGTAAACACTTAATCAATGAATGACGAAAGGGTATCGTGAATGTTTCCATTAAAAGGGTGTGGATAGTTGGCACGGTTGTAAAGCATTTGCCTTCTAGTGTAGGATTTGATGTGGGTCTTGAGAGGAAGAGAATTGCACGCTTCTCTCCTCTCTGTTTCGCATTCATACCAAATAATGACTTTTGTTTTCACCTCCACCCTCTTCTTTAGTTGCTTGTGAATAAATAAATGAACAAAAGAATTAGAAAAAAGTTTAGTTAGGTTTAAACTTGATGTTGATAGGGTCTAAGGGCCATCTAAACTGATATGAGTTTGAATATTTAAATTGTATGTCTCAAGTTTAAATTTTAAAACAAAAAATTTTTAATTTGAGAAATAAAAAGTAAAAAAAGTGTATATAACAATTGTATAATTAAATTCTTTTTTATTTTAGATCGTATCAAGTCAGATTGAGCCATTGATGGAGCCACAAATAATGGGCATTTATGCGTTGCAACAATCGACACACGAAGCAGAGGAAGCTCTATCACAAGGGCTGGAAGCACTGCACCAGTCGCTTTCGGACACAATCACCTCAGACTCATTGATTTGTCCACCCAACATGACAAACTACATGGGTCAAATGGTCATAGCCATGAACAAGCTCTCAACCCTCGAGGGTTTTGTAAGACAGGTATGTTACACATCTCTCTTTCTCAAATTTCTCAAGTTGGGTACGTGTTTGATCTTTAGTGCTAAAGTTTGTGATGGGTTTGTTACCGTTTGATGGTTGGGGGGCCCACGGTGTGATGGTGATTGGGGTTATAAAAGTGGGGCCCAGTGGGGACAGAACAAGAATCTCTCTGGTTCTGTCTGGACAGGGAAAACCTAACCTAACCCCAATCCATATCCTATATGAACCACTCCATACATGCCTTTTGTATGTCCATGGTCCAAGGATACTTGTTTTATTACCCCCATCAAATGCTGGGGTTCTTGCATTTCTTTAATTTGAAAGTGACTTCACACATAAAAGTCTTTAAATTTTTTAGTAAATTTATAATCACACTGTATTTTTATTATCAAAATAAAAAATAAATAAATTGTTTTAAAAATTAAATCAAATTAAGACATCATGTATAAATAAATATAGACTAATGTGTACACGTATGTATGTCCATGCATGTGCTAGTTTATTCGTGGAACAACTAATCATGAACAAATATACATCTATAGGGTAATCTCCAATGCCCATATATACATGATGTCATATAGTCCTAGCCGTTTGACTTAAAAGACATCCTAATAGAGAGACCATGTCCCATTAGACATTATTGCACAACTTCTTGACTCCTTTTCTTGACTGTACATGAAATAGGCCTAGTCTCATTGCACGCATGCACATAAACACATACATCAAAACTACATATGAGGATCAAAGTCATGGTTTTGGTGGGGACAAATTAAGATTCCAAATAAATGTTTCAAACCTTTTGAAAAAAATAACATCCTTGGAAAATTCAGACAGGATAACTGTTTCAATTCTTACAGATGATCCCTGATTCTCCTAAAACCATCATTTCGTGGATTAGCAGGAATAACTATGATAACTTCATAGACTGTTAGAATAAGTCTAATTGTAGGCCCGAGCTGACTTCTTGTTATCTAAGGTTTCTTCTTTGGTCTTAGTATATGTTATCATCATTAGTGTCTATAATGTTCTTAGAAGGATTGGTTGAAATGTTTTTGTCGTGTCAAACATCTAGAACATATATATATGGGTTAGTGAGATATTTCCACCAAGAAAGTAACTCATTAATTAAACTTTCCCTCAAGTCATTTTCAATTGGCCTTAATTCCAAAACCCATTTGAAAAACAGAACCCTAACTGCCACAAAAGTCATGGGTGGATGGCCTACCTAGAGTTTAACAAAGCAAATTATACTTATTTAATTCAGTTCCTAAAGTCTTAAGTCGTAAACATTTTTTCAGTCTTATACATGTGATTTCAGAACCGTATCTCTAAGTTTCTCATTCAATAATAGTTTATGGATTGGTAATTAAATTATACTTACAGGCTGAAAATCTGAGGCACCAAACCATACACCGGCTGCATCAGATCCTGACAACCCGTCAAGCTGCAAGGTGTTTTCTGGCTGGGGCCGAGTACTTCCACCGCCTCCGTGCCCTCAGTTCTCTATGGCTGGCTCGTCCTCGCCAGGAACAATGGATAGAAAAACCCTAGCCTAGGCCATATGTAGCCACTTTGATATACACCTCTTAATTTACCTTAATCTCTTAATCATATCATTTTTTTTTTTTTTTGAAAAGCCTCTTAATCATATCATTGACTTCAATGATATTAATTTCCCTTTCCTTCACAGAGTTGTATAGATCATATACAGAAAAAAAATAGGGATTTAATCTAAATTAAAGCGGTAAAACTTTAGAAGTCTCTCTCTAATTTCTCTAGAGTTTAATTTCGTGCTTGGACAGAATTCATATTCCGGAGGAGGAAAAATTGATTTGGCAGCCATTTCTGACTGGGAAATGGGGTATGGAGGCGGAGAGGATCAGAAGGCATTGAAGAGTTGGGTATTTGATTTTTTTGGTTGGTGAATTTGTGTAAGAGGAAAAAAATAATAATAACAAGGGAATTTTGGGGGATGTAGGGATAGCCTGATAGGGTAAAATTGGCCCGCCTGCGGGAACTCAAGGCCTAGGGTTTGTTATTACCTTATTGGTCCTATAGATGGATCCATGGGAACGCAAAGGGTAATTCAATTGACCTTATAATTGAGCTTGAACTTTCCCTATTTACATTCTTCAAAGGTTTGTTTTGAACTTTTTTCATTGTCAAAACTTAAGTCATAAGTGACTGTTGTTTGAAATGAACCGCATGAATAGATAAAAAGGTTTATCTGTTGTGTGCCCCAAAGCATTAAGTATTACTTCTTTTATTCTATAATAATTATTTTTTTATTTTTTAAAATTAAGAATTTAAAAATTATTTATGTATTTATCTATATTATCTTTAAAAAAAAGATAAAATAAGAATTTTTGTGATAGCATACTTACTTAATAAGTAAATAATGATAGGGGTTAATTAGGAAAAAAATATCTGTCTATTTAAAAAAAATGAAAAATCGATGATTAATTTGAGTGAAACTTAGAGTAAAAAATGACAATTATTTTAAGATAGAGGAGTAATAGTTTAGGGTACAAGATAAGGAATAATAATTGAATAATATTATTACTTTTTATCTTAAAAAAGGGAAGTTAATTTATACTGTATTTTAATTATAAATACTATATTGTTAGTAGTTTTAATTTGTCCATTTTAACTTAAAAATTAGAATTTATCTTATTAATTTAAATTTTATTTTTTTAAAAAAATTGCTATCATTTTTTTTATTTTGAATTGTATAATTAAAAATAATTTTTTCTCATCCATTAACTCACCCACCTATACGTGATACGCCATGGCAGTCACCATCATTTCTTAATAACAAACTCTTGGTAAAATTAAGGTTTAAGGAGGGTTAGTTGCAAAGATGAGAGATTTACTTCCATAGTCAAATGATTGAATGGAAAACGTTAGACCTAGAGGATGTCTATAGCCTAGCTGATTAGTAGATGGGAGGCTATCCATGGCCCAATTGCCCCAGTTACAGCTCGGCGAGCACTAGGGCTGGCATTTAATTTTGCCATGGCCCCATAGCATATTGAATTCGCGGTACAATTTGCCAAAACCTTTGGAGGACAATTACATTTTCCCCACAAAATATTTGAAATAGGGAGGGTGAGGAACTGAGGGGGTGCGAACGATGTGATAGCTCCTTTGTTTGAAAGTTAAAGTTTTCAACATCAAATTATTTCAATATAAGATGAGATGTCATTGTCGCAACGCCTTGAATCTTACACAAGAGAGGCATCATTTATCACTCTTTATCACTATTAATAAGTCAAGTTTTGAAGTTTGAATTTCTACGGTTATGTGTAAACTTCGACCTTAAAGAGTTGGTGGTACTTACAATGGAGATTTCAGAGTTCAAATGTCTCATTTTTAAGTGGAATGAATTAAACAGTTAGAGAGAATTATTTTTTATTATGTAATTTATGTAATTTAAAAATAAATATAAAGGTTGTTGAGTTTTAAGGCAAAGCTTCTAAACTTGCCCCAAATCTAACATTTAAGTTGTTAAACTAAACATGATGCAAATAAACCCTCTAACTTTTTAACTAGGGCAAAAGGGCTCTTTATAAGTAATGATCATTTAATGTGAACGGACTCTATTTAGTGATACTGATGTAGCAATGTAGGTGTTAACGTGGATAAAATGTCTTTTCAATTTCTATTTTTTTTCCTAGGATAATGATATATAAACAATCCTTTTTTTTTTTACAAAATTTTTGGGTTAAACCCCATTTGGCTCCCTGAACTATTATACAGACTCCTAATTTGGTCCCTAAACTAAAAAGATCCCTAATTAAATCCCTACTATTTTACCATTTTTACCCCGAGTTGGTCATTCTATTAAAAATCTCATGACGTGTATTGTTAATTTACAGTAAAATGATGACATATCAAAATATTATCCTATGTGGAAGATAACATGACAAAAAATAGTGACATGGAAAAAAATAATAATATAACAAAAAACTTAAAAAATTCTTTCTTTTTCTTTTTCTTTTTTTTTCGTCTCCTTCCCTTTTCTTTCCCCTTAGGGTTTGGAACCTAGAGTTGGGTTTGATCAAACCCAATTCCTGGGTTCGATGAACCCAGCATCCAGGCTTTGGGTTCCTTGGAACTCGGCTCTGGGTTCCTTGGAACCCGATGCCTGAGTTCGATCAAACCCGACACTGGGTTCAATGAACCCAGGCGTTGGGTTCCTTAGAACTCGATGAACCCAACGTCGAGTTCGTTGAACCTAAGCACTGGGTTCTTCGACCAAAAAAAAAAAATTCTTTGTTTTTGTGGATGTTGTTTGATGATGATGATGAAGAACTAATTCATGAAGAAGAAGAATTGATTGATGAAGAAGGCAAGGAAGAGGAAAGAGAAAGGGAAAGATGAAGGAGAAAGAATTTTTAAAATTTTTATTGCCAAATTATTATTATTATT